ATACTATGTTCAAATCTTGCTACCATTAGCCATGAAACGATCTTGGGCAAGTCACTAACGGCTGTTTGTTTCGGATCATCCATCTGGTAGCAAGCTGACTACGTTGTGACATACCCGTGCACCAGGCTGGCCTTCTGTTCAGAGCTACAGCTAGTATTAATTGAAGGGAAAATATCAAGCTATTGCATCTGCTACTAAGCAGCATCCTATATTGCAAGGTAGAGGTATTCATCCTTCTAGATTTTTACTCTTATACTTCAACACTTCTTTTAGATTGTGTTCCACGAAAAGAAAATTTTAAGTGTTTTTCATCATTAAATTGATATTAACACTTTTTTTCGAATTTTAATTCTACACTTTGATTATAATATGTGATAAGAATTCTTTAGACAAACAATGATTCTCCTTGTTTTTTTACCACTTTCAAAATGAAATTGTGATAAAGTTGTTCTACTTTTTTATTTGTGATAAACTACATTTCTCTTATCATTTCTTTATGAGTACAGAAAAGGAAAAAAAATACCACAGATTATATATACTTCCAGATATCTTTTTTTTGTTTTACATATCTTTATTATTCTTTTTATTTTTGCATTAGAACAATGATAGGCGTGTTTCTATTCTTCATTTTGGCTTGTTTTACACAAAATATTCATGCTAATCGAACTGTCACCGTAAGTACGAAATATGGTGATGTAGTTGGATATGAGACTGATTTAGCTCGTATATTCTATGGTATTCCATTCGCTCAATCACCTGTTAATAATTTAAGGTAATTAGATTTAATAATATTTATTTTGAATTTATTCATATGTTTAATGTAGATGGAAATCCCCCGTACCTATAGATAAATGGTCTCCTAATGTACTAAATGCTACAATACCACCACCTGCTTGTCCACAACCACCATGTAAAGTTCCTCCTATATTGTGTCCTGCTATAGTACGTTAGATTTTAAAAATATATAAATAGTATCATGTTTAATTTTGAATTTTTTTATTTGTTTAGGTCTCTGAAGATTGTCTTTATTTAAATATTTTTACACCATTATCTACACAATCACTACAATCAACGCCTTTACCTGTTATGATTTTTATTACTGGTGGTAATTTTCAATTTCTTGATGCTTCAGCACCAATTTATGAATCTGAACGTTTCGTTAATACAACTGGTGTTGTTCTTGTATTCATTCAATATCGACTCGGTAAGCAAAGAAAAAAAAAACGAAATAACAATTTCACAATTTATTATTAAAACTAGGTATTCTTGGTTTTTTGGCAACTGGTACCGGTCCAGATGATATCAAAGGTAATTTTGGTATTCTCGATCAACGTTTAGCTATTGCATGGGTTAAATCAAATATTGATGCATTCGGTGGTGATCCAAATGAAGTTAGAAAACTTTTATTTATTAAAATATATTTACACTCTTATTTTCTAATATAGATAACATTATTTGGTCAAAGTGCTGGTGGACAATCAACTGCATTACATTATGTTACAAATGATATGCAACCATTTTTTCAACGAGCAATTATTCAAAGTGCACCTTTAACAATTCCTTTTCGGTAACATATTATAATGAAAAATTATATATATATATATCTAGATTTTCTATTATTTATATAAAGAACATATTTAGAATATGTAACACCAACTGTTCTTCTTGCAGAACAACTTCATTGTGCTTTTGGTGATATTGCATGTTTTCGTCGTGCTTCATTTGAAGATATTATTATTGCTCAAGAAATTATAAATAATATGATAACTTCATTGGAAGTTTTACTTTTCTTTGAACCATGGGTACCAGTTATTGATAATGTTATTGTACGTGGTCAACTTCTTGATCTTGTTTATAATACATCATTTCCACTTAAACAACTTATTGTTGGTACATTAACTGAAGAAGCTCGATTTTTTATTTATGAAGGATGGGCAAAACCAGTATTGCCAACAGTCTATGGTGAACTTATTTTAGGTACATTTCGTGAAAATGCTGTTAAAGTTCTTGAACGATATCCACCTGATAGTATATTTGATGAACGACCATTATTATCTCGTATAGCGACTCAATGGGTATTTGCTTGTTCAAATCGTATTTTTGCACGTAAAGCTGCATCATATTCTTATGTATTTGGTTATCCACTTGATTTTGATGGTTGGGGTAATGAAACATATTGTAATGGATATGTTTGTCATGGTGCTGAATTACCATATTTATTTGAATCGTCATGGTTAAATTTTACTGATGCTGGACGACGTGTATCTCAAAGTATGGCAACTTATTGGACAAATTTTGCTAAAAGTCAAGATCCCAATGAACCTATACGTGTATTAACACCATGGCCAAGAGTAACTACTGGAAATGAAAAATACATGTATTTTCAAGATCCACTACAAGTTCCAGAAAGTTACTTGAAAAATGATTGTGATTTTTGGGATAAGATTGGATATAAATAAATGATTTTTTGATTTTTGATTATTAATAAATAAGTATTCTACCATCATTTCTTCTTCTTTTTTTTTATTTCGAAATTTCTCGAAATTAAGCAAAATTTTTTTTAAAAAACTCATCGAAAAATTTCGCTCGCTGCCAACCAATGCATCGGCTTATATCTGTAATCTTGAAAGTAAATATATTTTTCATTTGCAGTAGTTACTCTTGGTCATACAATTAATTCACATATTGATTCATTTTAATATTACCTTTTAGTCATAGAAAACACAAGTCAAATCTATTTCATAGCCCAACCACATCACCATAGTTTGTATCAACAACTATAGGTTCATTAGCATATCTGTTTTCATTGGAGCAAGTAAGAGTAATAATCCAAAATACACACATTCTCATTTTTATGAAAGACAAAACTTTGAAATGAGATAATACTATGTTGCCAGAGACGTCCTATTATGTTTATTTGAATGCACACTGATAACAAAAGAAGATATTTTCGTGCATGTTTACTAGAAAGAGACTCTTCGAACATAATAAACTATTGTGTTTCACATGTTTCTTTTTTTGTCGATCTACTATATTAGAGTTTTCACTTTGACTTAATTAGAAGGTTATGAATTGTCTACAGGAAATATCTACGTGTAGTAGGAATTTGTTCATATTTTCATACATAATTAAAATTTTCTCTATTTTGCAAAGTGACATCAATATTCAATATTGAAATAAAAATGTGAATGCATCTGTTATATATTGATATATTTTTCGTTTTTCATAGAATACTATGGATTTATGTTGTCTCTAGTTAGACGTTTAGTTTTTTTTTCGAACCTACAGGATTGAACTTTAATATTATCTGACAATCGTTTTTTTAATACTAAGAATAACTCAGCAATTGAGTGTCAGCATTTTCGTATAATGAATCTTTCTAATTGTACTTATCTTCTAATATGTATTGCGACGAGTGCATATACAAAATAGGAATAGCCAACTATCAAGCATTTTTCATCGACGATTACCTGCATTATAATCGAATATTTCTTAATAATAAATGTTTGAATAACTTTCAGTGATAAACATCATCAAATTTTGTTTATACTTTCTAACATGACAATAGATGAATCAATTTGAGCCCTATGGAAGCCTGCTATTATGTACTGTTTGTTTTCACAATGGACCATTTATGAATGATTCTAGACAAACTTACGGCGTCAGTAGAGAATGTTTTGACATCATTTTTACGACTCTCACTAAAAATAGCAATGCATTTATTTTTTGTAAGCTTTCTGTGTTCAAATTCATTAATCCGTTGCTTTCACTTTTTGAGTAATAGATTTATTCGATAGCATAGACAATAATGTCTTTTAAAATGTACACAATCGCAAGAGAACAACATTAATCAATGAACGACACATTGATATCTTCGTCTATCGTCATAGAAAGCTTAACAACTCGTTTAATGAAAGACATCATTTTAAAAAACATTAAACATTTCTCTTCTCTACTATTTAGTTTTTATTCTTTATTTTGTTGTTCGTAAGCGTGAACTCCGGTGATATTACAATCATTTGATGCTCTTCAATTTATTCACTACCTCTTCTGCTTTCATTTAAAGAACTTTGAAAAATATGAACTTTCCTTTGACCATGATCAATCGAGTTTCATGTTGACTAATGCTTTCATCTTCTCGATTTTATCAATTAATACTGTGCATCGTATTTTAACACGTATGTGTTAGCTCGACGGTCTATCGCTCAATTTGTCTATGAATTTTCTTGAGCTTTATCATGAGATCACAATTCTGAGACTTGAATTTCCTCATATTCCATGATATTCTGCTCTGCTACAGCTATTATTTAGTACATTGTACTTGTGTTCATTAATTCATGTATGAATACGTTTGACTACACTGTATTCCTATCCAATTCTTCATACTATCAATCGAATATCTCCATTGAAATGATTTACTGTATAAGAAGTATTCTCTTGATAGTTTTTGCTTTAATATATAAATATTGGGACAAGTTATGGTACCAAAAAAGACAACTACAAAGACTTCCAAACTGTCATCATATGAGAAAGATAAATACTCAATTACTTTCGATCGAATTTCTATTCCTATGTACATAAATAGTTATGTCTTTCTCTACATCAATCCATTCGACTTTTATTTTGGAACTTTTCTATATTGCGTTGATTATTTAGTGTGATCTTCCACAGTATTTGATTCATGTATTTACTTCAATTGTATTTAGAAGATAAGCAAATGAAGTATATAGTTATCCTATTTTTCTGAAGAGTTTCAAGCATAATCGATTTATCATCATAGATGTTCAAACAGTTTCCTAATCAAAATAACATTTCATTATTATATGAATTATTTCTCATGAGATGAAATACTTTTTGATAATAAAAAAAAAAACAAATCCTTTTTCGCGCACATATACATTATTGATTCTTGTCCTTTAAGTTTGAAAATGATTTCTAAATATCTTTATGTTCTATTTATTTATGTTATCTATATTTTCTCTTTTCATACAGCTTCATTAATGAAACTAAAATTTTTATTTGTAACAGAACCTAATGTAATTAAATGTTCTACACATGAATATCTCATTTTTACTAATTGGCATAGTGTTTCTAAATGGAATATATCATGTCCAAATCAGACTGAATTATTTGAAACTAATCCTCCTCATTTAATCGAAGAAACTCAGGTTTATGTTGCTTGTTTTGAGAGTGATATGATATTAAATCCTTATCTTATGTTGAATTATACAAAGATGAAAAAAGGAATGATAAAAAATCCATGTGAATCAAGCATACTTTCATCACATTCATTACCTGATTTGACTGGCATAGTTAATAATACTTATCATCAATATTCATTCAAAGCTAAATGTGTTGATTCTCAAATATTTATTAATCTAAGTTCAATAAGTTTTTCATCTACATCTAATGAAATACATACTATGTATACAAAATTTAACACTCAACCAGTGATTTGTCGATTTATGTTCAATCAAAGTGAACTTGTAAGAAATAAAACATGTATGATGAATGCTACATTGACAGTGAGAAAGTTATGTTATTATGATCCTCAGTTAAAAACAATATCAAAAGAAGTTGATTGGAATCTATTAGATAATTTTTTCACAAATCCATCTTATGCTCCATCTCATTGGCAAACAAAAAATGGATACTATTATAATGATAAATTATTAACAACCACTATCACTATATCGGTAAGGTTTGTTTTTATCATATTTTACATATCAAAAGATTTCTGAATACTGTTTGTGAGAGAGAGAGAGAGCTAATCAATATTTTATCTTTCGCTATATAGCAAATAATGTTCATGAAACATTCTACGAAATTCTTCAGATGATTAAGTTTTTTTCTTAGGAGTTAATTGTATGATTATTGATGGTTTTTGACCAAAAAATGTTTTGGTCTAGAAAATCATTGATGTTAGAATGAGTTTGTAGTAAATCTATTAATAGAACATTAATCCAATGTTGTCTAGTTGTCTTTACATATTATTCATTAAAATCTAAAAGTTCTGAGTAATGAATATTATATCTGATTAATTTTGACTTTTGATATTCATAAATTTTCTATTTAAATAGACTTGATCGAATTCCCTTAATTCTATCAATAAATAATGAATTACCTACATCTTTCTTTCATATATAAAAGACTACTACAATGTCTTCCTTGAAGCCAACGTCTTTATTCGATAGCATGAAGGATATAACTTCATTCAGTACTGATAAGACAACGACATTCTCAACAGTCAGTACTACAATATCAACAACTACTGTTACGAAAACCGATACCACCAAAAGTACAACTTCATTCACCACTAGCGAAACAACAACATTCTTAACAGTTAGTACTACAATATCAGCAACTACTATGACAGAAGTTGATACCACCGAAGATACAACTTCATTTACCACTACAGAAACAACAACATTCTCAACGGTTAGTACTACAATATCAGCAACTACTGTTGTAGAAATTGAGACCACCGAAGGTACAACTTCATTTACTACTAGCGAAACAACATTCTCAATCGTTAGTACTACAATATCAACAACTACTATGACAAAGATTAGTACCACTCCGGATACAACTTCATTCAGTAGTAGTGATATAACAACATTGTTTACGATTAGTACTGCATCATCACCTAATACTTTTACAGAATTCGATACCACAGTTTTATCAACTAGTAGTCATAGTCCAACACTAACCACAACTATTATTAGTGACATTCTTACATCATCAATCGAAAGTAGTACATCAATTATAACTACATCTATACAAAGTAGCGAAATTCCTTCGTCAATTATTACAACTACAACTGCTGATCATATTTCGGATACTATCTTCGAAACAATGTCGACAACACTTTTTGATACAGGTACAACATCTTATATAAATGTAAACAATAATACAACATCGAAAAAAAGCTCAAAAAGCTCTAAAACATCGAAAACTAGTACATCGACAACATCTATGATACCTTTAAATACTCTTTCTCCAACTAAAGAATCATCATCTTATATTAAATATATTATATTTCTACTTTCTATAATTGGCATTATTTTATTGATCTCGTGTCTTGTTTATCTTTATCAACACCATCGAAATAGGAGTAGTGAATCATTGTTAGATCGCAATGATAGTGATGAATCGTATGATCCAAGCACAACGGAATCTGAACTGGATCCATCGAATGAATCTGTTGAAGAATCGACAGCTGCACATACTATATCAGAATTACCAATACTCTTACCACAGCTACAACAATCAAAATCATCTAGTAAACAGACTACTGGACGTATTTTTAGTAAACTAGATCCAGATAATCTTTAAAATATGACAAGATGTAACTGTTAAGATATTACGATATTTTTTATTTTTATTTTTATTGGGGGCATTTCATTTAGTATTAATATATATAAAAGAAAAAAAAACCATTCGCTTGTCATGTTTGATATCTCTTCCTGATAGGTTTATTATAAAATAATTAAATTTTACAATGTAACGTTTCGTTGTTGAAGAAAACTCCTTGAAACAAAGTTAGAATAACTGTATCTACAATTTAAAACGATAAATAGATAAAAGCACAATGACCACTATTATTGACTCTTATTATTCAGTTCGTTCTTAATATTGATAGGGAAACAAGACTGAGATGATAAACAACTGAATTTTTCCTACATGGTATATCACTATGAAACATGAACTGGAGAACAAAAAAAAAACAATTGTCAATGTCATTGCTTTTTTTCATAAATTGATTATTGTAAATTTTAGATGCATTCATTTTAATTTTGTGTGATGAGGATTTCTTCAACAACGATATATGACATTGTAACATTGAATTTGGTTTATATTAGGTTTTTCAGGAAAAGACTTCCAATATTTAATTCGAAGAATATGTATACAGAATTACAATAGTAAACTGTCACGCTTTTTTCATTGAAGATTATCGAGATACTAATTGAATATTTCTCAATAATAAACGTTTGAATAGTTTTAAGTGAAAAGTATCATAAAGCAAAAGCCAAATATTAAACATATAAAATTTTATTTTATTGACGATGATGTTATGAGAACATATGATCCAAATAAAAATTATAACCGAAAAATGTATTTCTTTTTTCAAAATAATATGACAATGAAAAAAGAATCCTGACAAATGCAAAGTTAAATTATACTTCGAAAATAAGAATTTATTATATAATAGAAAATGATTCATTTTTGTTAGACTAAAAGGATAGTATCTAGAAAATAGAAATTCACATATGTCTGTCTGCCTATCTATAGCATAGTCATCATATGGTAGTTATGATCCAAATCACTGTATAGTATCTGTGGTACAGATTATCATATGATAACTGTGGTACGAATGACTGCATAGGATAAGAAAAAGACCACCTATCCATTACAATTGAAATTAAGCGACAAGTATTATCTCAAGACTATGAATACGAAATCCGTATAGACTCCGTGTTTCACTGTATAGAATAGTATTTTGCTGAATTATATGACTCAGTATTACAACTGTATTTTTCCGAATCATATATGGAAAAATACGACCGCATACGGCGAGATGCTGAGTAAAACGAAAGTCTTATATGAACTTCGAAAATTACCGTATTTCTCGTTATTATAAACGGTGAAATGCGATCGTAATACTGAATCATGTAACACACCAATATATGACTAGTTATTGTGGTTTACAAGGGTGCTTATTCGATCTAAAATGCCTTTAAAAATGATCATCGTTATTCTTATATTATTGTATAGTCCGATTGATTATTCAATGGTACGTACATGAGGATGTCACATAATAATCAATAATAGTTAGAAAATGAATCTGAACATATCATTATGATAAACTAGAATTACATTATTTGAATTACTGTTTTTTGCGATTACAAATACTGCTAATATAAACTAATTGTAAATGATTGTATTGATTTCTGTGTTGTATATATATATAAGATATGTTTTATTCCAAACATGGAGACGAAGACGTAGAATAATATCAATAATAAAAAACTGAAAGGTTTTCAGTTTCTAGTTTTTTATTTAAAATATTCGAACCTCAAGCATAAAATCTCTGAAATCGATATGCTTCTATTTATCACAACACATCATTTATAGATATACACTAATTCGATATAAATCAATGTATGATAAAAAGAATTTTAAGATCTATATTTAAGAACACTAGCGAATTGAGTTATCATAGTGCATCGATAAAACGCTTTAATAAAATTTCTGTAGAAAAACTAATTCAATTTCATATATAAACTGAACTTCATAAGAAAAGTGTAGCATATTTAAAATCAACTTTTATTTATGAACGTTAAAACTAAATTTTATATGAGGAAAAAACATTGCTTTTGTAAAACGAATCACTAATCGTATGCTAAGTCTTCTCTTTTAATTATCTATTACTTTACTTAATGGAAGTTTATATCTGGATGCACTTATATGCATATTTCTATCCTGTCAGTCGAGGGCCAAATAAATTGAGTCTCGATGAACATTACTTATTAATAATCGTACGAAAAAGAATCGAATCCATAGAAAATAAACTCTATCTGTTTCAAAGTTTCTTATCTATGAAGTAGCTTCATTTATCGACGTCTTCATTAGTGCTACAAAAATGATAGTTTAACTTGTAGCATTTTCAACGTTGAGAAAATCATAAATTGCTTTCAAAACACAAATGTCTTAATCAGATGTGACTCGTTGATTATTCTCAAATAGATAATTTAATGTAGGTAATACATAACTTCATCAATAGATTGTCGTATTTTAAAAAAGAGACAAAGACCACTTGAACAGTGGAATTTTTAAATTTAAAAAAATGATTCATCAGATTCTTTTCTTTTTGTTTTGAATCAGTATATGACTATGAACATTTTTTAGAAGAGAAATGAAAACATTATTACACACTTCATAATACATGAAAATGATTAATGATATATTAGAAAACTTATGATGCGAAAAGTTAATATTCCACAGTTTAAAATTACTACAATACTATAAATCATTTTAGACAAACTTGCGGCGAGAACACAATGTTTTGATATAACTTTCTAGTTTCTTACAAAGATGAACTTGTCAGCACAGTTCTATTAGCACTGAAATGTAAAATTAACATGTACCACTTAGCCTCATTAAACCCATACAAAATACGTAGCATGAAAAATGTCTAGCAGACTATAGTTTTTTTTCAAGTATAATAAACCACCAGAAAAACAATCTCTTATTTATTTTCTACATTTTGAACAGATTGTTTTCTTCTTCTACTAGACCTCTATGTTTTGTTTTCCTTGTTGCTATTCGCTTGTCATTTTTCTTTTTCATATTCCGTTTTTCTTAATGTAATACTACTTTTATTATTCTAACCATTGATTTAACTTGTCAATAAGCCTGGTAATAAATATCCATCGTATCCACAGCAAGTCTCAGGACACTATTTCATTTTTCGATCAGCTTACAAAACACTGATATTGTTTATTTCCTAAAGTTATAATTTGATCAATTCACATCTTTTATGTTGATCATTTGACAACTATGATAAAGCAATGGGTCACTATTCATCGTCGTTAACACCTAGAATATAAACTTTTGTCTGCGCAAAAATCAAAAACTGCACCATTTAGAACATTCACAAACGCATTCCTGCCATTCAAATTTCAACGAAAGCTTTGGAATTGTTCTAGAACAGTCTAAGTCTTGTCGTTAATGTTGTTCAACAACTTTTTCTATTACTAAGCTCTGTAATGCGAGGAGACGGCAGGTAGCCACAAAACTTCAACTTAAAGTTTACACTCGCTATTTTCTTTTAAAATTTATGCGAGTCGATTTGTATGAAAGGTTTTCTTGAGGTTTATCATGGGATCACAATTCTGAAACTTGACTTTCCTCTTATCCCATGATATTCTGCTCTGCTACAGCTATTATTTAGTATATTCTACTTGTGTTCATTAATTCATGTATGAATACGTTTGACTACACTGTATTCCTATCCAATTCTTCATGCTATCAATCGAACATCTCCATTGGAATGATTTACTGTATAAGAAGTATTCTCTTGATAGTATTTACTTTAATATATAAATATTGGGACAAGTTATGGTACCAAAAAAGACAACTACAAAGACTTCCAAACTGTCATCATATGAGAAAGATAAATACTCAATTACTTTCGATCGAATTTCTATTCTTGTGTACATAAATAGTTATGTCTTTCTCTACATCAATCCATTCGATTTTTATTTTAGAATTTTTCTATATTGTATTGATTATTTAGTGTGACTTTCCACCATATTTGATTCATGTATTTACTTCAATTGTATTTAGAAGATAAGCAAATGAAGTATATAGTTATGCTATTTTTCTGAAGAGTTTCAAGCATAATCGATTTATCATCATAGATGTTCAAACAGTTTCCTAATCAAAATAACATTTCATTATTATATGAATTATTTCTCATGAGAGATGAAATACTTTTTGATAATAAAAAAAAAACAAATCCTTTTTCGCGCACATATACATTATTAATTCTTGTCCTTTAAGTTTGAAAATGATTTCTAAATATCTTTATGTTCTATTTATTTATGTTATCTATATTTTCTCTTTTCATACAGCTTCATTAATGAAACTAAAATTTTTATTTGTAACAGAACCTAATGTAATTAAATGTTCTACACATGAATATCTCATTTTTACTAATTGGCATAGTGTTTCTAAATGGAATATATCATGTCCAAATCAGACTGAATTATTTGAAACTAATCCTCCTCATTTAATCGAAGAAACTCAAGTTTATGTTGCTTGTTTTGAGAGTGATATGATATTAAACCCTTATCTTATGTTGAATTATACAAAGATGAAAAAAGGAATAATAAAAAATCCATGTGAATCAAGTATACTTTCATCACATTCATTGCCTGATTTGACTGGCATAGTTAATAATACTTATCATCAATATTCATTCAAAGCTAAATGTGTTGATTCTCAAATATTTATTAATCTAAGTTCAATAAGTTTTTCATCTATCTCTAATGAAATACATACTATGTATACAAAATTTAACACTCAACCAGTGATTTGTCGATTTATGTTCAATCAAAGTGAACTTGTAAGAAATAAAACATGTATGATGAATGCTACATTGACAGTGAGAAAGTTATGTTATTATGATCCTCAGTTAAAAACAATATCAAAAGAAGTTGATTGGAATCTATTAGACAATTTTTTCACAAATCCATCTTATGCTCCATCTCATTGGCAAACAAAAAATGGATACTATTATAATGATAAATTATTGACAACCACTATCACTA